TTGCTGGGATCCCTTCCAGGACTTTGCAAGGGGCAGAAGCAAGTGAGGCACTCTGAAGCAGTCCTTCATCTTCTAGAATAAACCTGCAGCTCCACCATGTGCCGGCACAGAAGAGAGCTGTTTGTCCGGGGGAAGCCCTTAACAGTTACATTCAGAGCCTTCTCACCATTTTGAAAGCATTATTAGAGCTGGCAACATGGCTCTGGGTAAAGGTGCTTGCTGCCAACATGATGACCTGAGTTCAGTCCCCAGGTCTCACATGGTAGGAGAACCAATTCCAACAATTTGTCTTCCTCTCCCTGGCAAATGCTCACACATGCGCACGCATACACATGCATACACACACATACACACACATACACACACACACACACACCCCACAAACATGAATGTAATAAAACTTAAAAAAAATTAAAGTATTAATATAACTTGACCAGCTAGGCCTTCCCCTTTTCTCCCTTCCTCTGTTTTGATGTTGACAGGCATAGCTACGGGTAGTAGAGACCTGACAACCTTGTCAACATCAACTTAACCAATCAACTTTGAAAATATCCTGTCACCTGTTAGGTCCTACATAGGAATGGCAGCCAGATCCTTCTGAGGAGCAAAAGCTGTAGCTTTCCTCATTTATATTTCATACCTGTCATAGCTTTTAGATGTGTAAGGTTTTACATCTGCAAGATTGGTGCCACTCCAGCGGCTTAATTCTTTTGTTGTTTTGCTATTGGGGGCCTCCCAGCTCAACTGGCTGCATCTTTACCTCCTTCTTGTTGGCTAATAGATGGCTTTACTCCACAGGCGATGATTATATGCCACGTGCTGGAAGACATTTTGACATTTTCTGTGCCTATTCCCATCCCGTCCTCACTCCCAAAAATACACTGCCAATAATGGCAGAATTTTAGAAAAAAAAATTTTTTTTTTTTTTTTTTTGAGACAGGGTTTCTTTGTGTAGCCTTGGCTGTCCTGGACCCTGTACATCAGGCTGGCCTTGAACTCACAAAGGTCCTCCTGCCTCTGCCTCCCTGAGTGCTGAGATTAAAGGCATGTGCTACCACCATCTGGCTTAAAAAAATCATCTAAAAAGCTTTTCATTAGGGATAGTTTAAGTTATGCTAGGTATAGAGTCTTTACATGCAAATACTGTTTAATCATTAAAAATGTTTCTCTTTATTTAGAAATACCTGTGGATACTATTAAGAAAGAGTAGGCTAAAAAAAAGTAACATTTATAATACATGTGTTCTGTGTATGTATTTTAACATTAAAAAAAATATGTTTTGAGTTGGAGGGGATGTCTCAGTGGTTAAGAGCATTGGCTGCTCTCTCAGAAGATGCAGGTTCAATTCCCAGCACCCACTTGGTAGCTTATAATTGTCTGTAACTCCAGTTCCAGGGGATCTGATACCCGCTTTTGGCCTTCCCAGGCACCAGGCACACATGTAGTATGTAGAGATACATGCAGGCAAAAATACCCATGTGCATAAAAAAAGATAAAAATTTTTGAATTATAAGTTAAATGTTTTTGTGTATACCCGCATGAGCCTATGTGTAGCACCTATGGGTAAGCCCTCAGAAACCAGGCAGTGTTGGATCCCCTGAAGCTGGAGTCCTAGGCAGTTGTGAGCCACCTGATGTGAGTGTTGGGAACCAAACAGACCCTGGGTCATATACAAGAACAGTAACCACTCTCAACTGTTGAGCTACCTCGCCAGTCTCTGTAACATGCTTTTATTCCCTTATGGATTATTATTGTTCCTAGAAACTACTTTGTATGATTTTTTTTTGTATTTGAAACACACTGATGTGTATATAGCAGTCAGCTTTCACTTTGAACAGGAGGAATTAATAGGAGGATGTAGAGGAAGGAAGGAAGAACTGCAGAGACCAGGCTATGAATGCTGGCCCTGCCTCCTGCTCCCTGTTTACCTCATAAGACTTGTTTTCTCATCTGTAATATCGGCTAATGCCTATACTGAACGTGTTGTGTTAATGGAAACCAATGAAAATGCCCATATAGTTCTTGATTCTTGTTAACTAGTTAGTAGCAGGTACTGCTTGCTAATATGAATATCAATGTATTATTTCTGGATAACTAATTACTCCCCGAGCCTTGTGGCCTGAGACAATGGTCCTTTGTTTTCTCCCAGCGTCTTCTTGAGAAGGAATTCTAGAGTGGAGTGGGTTAGCTGAGGCTTTGTGCTCCTAGACAAGGTGTTGGCTTCCAGGGTGGCTTTTCACCTGGCTATCAGCAGAAAGCTTTAGGTTTTAGCTCTCTCTGTAGCTATGACCTACTGCAGCTCATTGTCCCCAGAGGGAGTAACCCCAGAGTGAGAAAGGATAAGGCAGCCTCCACAGTGGCTTTTTTGATATGAAAATCAAATAACTGTGAAATCAAGTAACAGCTCAGCCCTCTGTTTAGTGCTGCAGGCACAAGAATATCAGGGAAATATGGATGATTGGAGGTTAGATCCCATGTTCCTGTTGGCCTCTGGCAACCTGAGATCTAAGTATAGATTGCCTGGTTCTTTCTGCCATAGCTGTGTGTGAGTGCGCAGGCCTAGCCCTAGCCCTAGCCCTAGGCACCCCAGCTTTTCTTCCAGCCTTATGTCATTTCAGCCTTATGTCCCAAACGAAAGTCATGACTCTCCCCATCCATTTCTTCCAGTGTCATTCTGTCAGCCACTCAGGCAAAAACTCAAGAATTATGTTGGTCTTGTTTCTTTTCACATCTCATCACCAAATCCCATGGGCTTTTCCCTGAATGTATGTCCAGAATTCATCCTGCTCACCCTCTGGGCTGTCACCTCCTTGGTCTGTGCTACTCACCCCTTCATGTTATCTCAGAGGCTCTCCTCCTGTTCTAGAGCCTCTGCAGAGCTCCTCTCTGTGCTCTCTTCTCCCTACAGGAGCCTTATATCATATTGTGCCTAAGTAGTATTTGCCAGGTACTGAAAGAAAGAGCCACAGGACTACTGCATTCCCAAATCTTGGCTCTGTGCATCTAGCCTTCCTTCCTGGGCATCTCTCTGATGCTCACCATACTTCAGCCCCGAAGGATTTGTTCCAGACAGCTTCCCCTTTTGGGCCTCCTTTTGCTTCCCCCAGCCCTTTGCAGCCAAGCCTCCCACGGCCACACAAGTCTGCAGCTTCTACAAGCTACCCGCTGCTATCTTTAATCACCTCCAGTGCTTTACTCTTTCTCCTTTCTTATCACCAAATTAGCTTCCCTTTTTAACTTCTGAACATTTATTAGGCTACAAGCAGGGGATTCTTGTCTGTTGTATTCATTGCTGCAATGAATGGCCTTTGTATACCCTTGAATCATTTTTATTTTAAGAATGCAGGAATTATCTTTCTACACAAATGTGGCCCAAGTTAGGGAACCAGAAACATTTTGAAACTCATCAGTATGCTGTGTTATTTCTTGTCCAAGATTATTTAGATTTGATCACAGGGGCGAAAAAAGAAAAACATCATTTTTGAGTTTCCCTTTTGTGAGTGAACCGAGTTGATGAAAGTTAGATATGCAATTCAGAGGGAAAATTAAGGTCTGTGCTGTGGAGAGTTAGAAGTATGTGCTTAGATGTCCATCTTAATTTATTTTGTTTCATTTCTGTTGGACTAAGAAAACTTGTATCAATCATGTGAAATGCTGGGGTTCTGAAAGGTGTGATTTTGGAATGACTCAAGTTTTTTGGTTTTCTATCTAAGAGAAAAATCCCCTTTCTCTTAGCCATTTTTAAAATAGAATAAATTTTTATAGTCACTGTAGCCATCCTGCTACACAATAGATCTCTTGGGTGAATTTTGTATCCCTTAACTAACAAGCCTGTATCCTGTGTTGTTGCCCTGAAATAGCAAAGCAAGCTGATCATGCATGTTAGGAAAAGGTGGCTTTGGCAATGGGAAAGACAGGGCCAACCTTCTTATTACCGTGGCTGGGGCAAGGGGCTGTCTGACAAATTCAGAAAGGATAGCTGTGGCTCACCAAACCCCCTGTTGGCTCTGTGCACATTACCGTGCTTAGTGCCATAGGAGGTGGCCTGACGCTGCTGTCAAACACCTAGACAGTGTAAGAGCAGAGTAACATCAGGTCTGGCAGGGAAAACCACAGGGAGGGCTTGGGGAAGAAGGATTTTCAGGAAGGTTGGAAAGGTGTGAATGAGACTTGAGGAGAGAAGGGTAAGCGCTGAGCTTCCCATTTTGAACCATCCCAAGGGAATGCAGCACTGCTGGCTCTGGAGGACCTTGGAACAGCTTGCCTCTGCTTCCTTGACCAGTGTCTCAGTGTGGGGCTGGATCTGGTAGAGGATTGACATGGACACCTATGTGAATAGAGGCTTGGAGCCCAAGGCTCATCAGTCATTAGGCACCCTTGCTTGGAGGGCCTTTAACACAGCCTGGGACCCCCTTCTCCTGGACTCTAGATGTCCATATGGTCATGTCCACTGGTATCTATTTAGTTTTATGATCTCTGAACTTTTGGATACAATGCTAGAATGTTACTTTAGCTTTTCAGAAGAAGTCGCTTTTATTGAAAGATATAAAACATTTTTAAAGTAAACTGCCAGCCCACCTATTGATGAAATCCAGTGACCCACATTCCAAAAGCACACAAGCTAATGAAGATGGACTTTTTGTCTTTAACATGTGATAGCCAGCTTATCTTTAGGGACATTAAAAGGGTAGCTAACACATTGCAGAGATAATTCCTTTCTTCCTTCTTCCAGAGGGCCTATGGCTCCCAAGAGAGGCCACACCATGCCTGGCTGGTTTCATTATAGCAGTGGAGGGGGACTTCACTGTTTTCTTTAGGAACTAAGCCTTCTGTTCCGATTCCTCTACCTGTTTCTGCCTGTGAGTTGAAGCAGGTCATGTTTCTGTCCATCACACTGAGGAGAACCCTCCTGCCGTTCAGGTGTATTTGACACAGCAGGTATGCCTGTCCCTAGATGTGTACTAAGTGTATACATGCATGTGTTTCTAATTTTCTTCTAGATTCTGGCCCTGATTGCATTTATCTGCATCGAGACCATCATGGAGTGCTCCCCATGCGAAGGCCTCTACTTTTTCGAGTTTGTAAGCTGCAGTGCATTTGTGGTGACTGGGGTCTTGCTGATTCTCTTCAGCCTCAACCTTTATGTAAGGATCCCCCAGATCAACTGGAACCTGACAGTGAGTATATGCTGCCTGTCTACTTGCGAGAGGATTGGCTGCTGCTGGACTCTCATGGAAAATCGGAATCTCTCGTGTCATGTTTAGTTCTAGCTCGTTTTGGTGCTTAAACATTCCCTCATAACCCAGCTGTGACAACTTTAGTTTCCTTATACAAGCAAAGTGAATCCTAACTCAATTCATAATAGAATTGAGTTGGTCCTTTCAAGGATGTCATTTATATTTACACTCATCTGGAGGATTGGTTATGTTGCTATTTGCAGAATATGGGAAAGAAAACAGAATTAATACATTTGCATATTTTTCAGATTAGACCTAAGAACTGTTTATAAAAATATTGACTCTTTTGGTTGTAACAGTTCACATCTGTGAGCCTAGCACTTTGGAGACAGCATTACCACTATCTCCAAGGCCTTCCAGAAGGAATTCTAGACTTAGCAGGGTAACATAATAAGACCTTGTCCTAAAAAACAAAACAATCCCAAAACAACCAAAATATTGATTCTGAAAGAATTAACAATATGAGTGAAAATGCCAGTAACTTGTAAACCTCAAGGGGATCGTCAGGTGCAGAGCCACTGAAGGCTGCAGGTTTGACCAGAGGGTCTGCAGTGGGCATGCCACTGTTTTGGGTTCTTAGCCCTGTTTGGACCCTCTTGTCAATTAGCCTGAGATGCTCAGAAATGGTCAGTACCGGTGACATAGAAGCTTGAAAGTCTGGTAAGAAAATGTGTTTTCATGTTTTAGGATGCCACACAAGAGAGAGAATAATGGGAGGTTGCCCCAGTTTCAGTACCTTTGGGTTTTTGGGAAGTTTGACCTAACCCAAATGATATGAGAACTTTTTTTTTTTAAAGTGATACTGAGCCAGGGATGCTGATGCACATCTTTAATCCCAGCACTTGGGGGAAGAGGTAGGCAGATCTCTGAGTCAAGGCCAGCCTGTTCTACATAGCAAGCTCCAGGCCAGCTAAGGATCTGTATCGAGACCTTATCTCAAAAAGTAGAATAAAGTAAAAAGATGATGCTAGAAGGCTGTGGGTAGCTCAGTGGTGGCTTGTATACATAAAGGACGTGGTTTAATGCCCAGCACTGCAAACAAATAAATTAACCCAAACTCTGGATGGTATGCAGGGTTGCCAGTTTTGGGTGGTCTTTAAGTCAAGACTTGGTAATGCCACAGGAAACGGAGTGTTGTGAACCATCACTGCTCAATTCCTGTGACACTGAGACTGATGTCTGGAGGACCCAGAAATGGCTTCACGGGCCTAGTTGGAAAGTTCTTTGGTTGCTTTGCACATGACTCTACTTTTCCATTTTTCTTTAGGATTTGGTCAACACTGGACTCAGCACTTTCTTTTTCTTTATTGCCTCAATTGTATTGGCTGCTTTAAACCACAAAACCGGAGCGGAAATTGCTGCTGTGGTAAGCAGACTGGATTGGCTCAAATCAGGCTGAGTTTTCACCTTCTGAGACTTGCCCTCCTCTGTTCCCTGGCCTGTGGCCTATTTATTTCCTCTCCTTTAGTGTGTCCTATCCTGACCTTGGGGTTCCAAGAGATGAGGGGTGGAGGTCAGATACTAGAAAGGGCTCACTTTCCATGCTCTGTTTCCGCCTTGCTGTTGACTTATAAAGAACATGTGCCACTTTTGTGGGGGGTGGGGGAGGGTAAGAGGGTAAGAACTACTGAAATGGAGGTTCAGCAGATAAAAGGTACTTGCTGCCAAGCCTGATGACCTAAGTCCCATCCCCAGGTCTCACATGGGAGGAAAGAACTGGCTCCTACAAATAGCCCTCTTATATCCACCTCTGTGTCATGGCACACCCCCCAACACACAAAATTGTAAATGTAATAAGCAATTTTTTGAAAACTACAAAACTGACTGCTCTTCCCACACAATCAGGATTCCGTCAAGCTTGACTAAATAATTAAACCTCACTTCACGTCCTGGTACTGCCCCGGTGAGAGGCAGGAGGAGGCTGCAGTGCTGCAGAACACGGGCTCTGTGGCTTGACGTAGGGTTTGTGTGAAACTACCCTTTCTATGTCATATTTTGTCTATATTATATTTTTGCTTGTGGTTCCAGTGCCCTTGAATTGCATGTAATAAAAGAGATAATTTTGCCATATAAACATAAAAACAGGCCAGGCATGGTGGTACATGCCTGTAATCTCAACAGTCAGTTGAGATTTGAGCCAACAGTTAAATTTGACATTATGGTTTACATAGAGAGTTTGAAATCAGCCAGGCCTACATAGTGAGACCCTCAAAATAATATAATAATGATTATATTAATAAAAATTAAAAAAATAATGGGCTGGAGGGCTGGCTTAGTGGGTAAAGTGCTTGCCATGTAGGCGGAGACTCTGAGTTTAGATCACCAGAACCCACGTAAAGCTGGACATGGTAACAAGTATATCCATAATCCCAGTGGGCCTAAAGCAAGATGAGGAGAAGGAAATTCCCAGAAGCCCATGGGGTCAGCTATGTGTCGTAATACAAGAGGTCAGGACTGGAAGAGCCAGGGGGTTCTTGAACAGTTCCCTAGTAGGTATTGAATCCAGCTGATTAGATCCACTCTCCCCTTTTTTTTTTTTTTTTTTTTTTCCATTCCCAGGTAGGCAGCTAGTACACTGAAGGCAAGAAACCTTGTCTTACACAAAAAAAAGGACTGACACCCAAGGTTGTTCTCTTCCTCTACATGACACCCACTGCTCCCACAGAGAGGAGAGGGGGAAGAGAGAGGGAGGGAGGGGATGAAAGGAGAGAGAGAGAGAGAATCTTAGGAAAGAAAGGAAGGAAGGAAGGAAGGAAGGAAGGAAGGAAGGAAGGAAGGAAGGAAGGAAGGAAGGAAGGAAATAAATAGATTTAAAAGGTTTCAAAAAGCCTCTACAGTTGTCTTCATGCCAGGCTGGGTTTTCTTCAGTCACGTGGCTGGAGCTTCAGCCAGATAACAGCTCCACATTGAACAGGGCTGGTGATCTGATATTGCTGGAAGGGTCTGCGCACAGCTTGGGTCCCTATGACAACACTCAGTTTCAGGGCACATGCTTAAGGGTAAACTGTGGCTGTGTATTTTAGATATTTGGCTTCTTGGCAACAGCGGCCTATGCGGTGAGCACGTTCCTGGCTGTGCAGAAATGGAGAGTCAGCCTCCGCCAGCAGAGCGCTAATGACTACATCCGAGCTCGAACTGAATCTAGAGATGTGGACAGCCGCCCTGAGATCCAGCGCCTGGACACATGAAAACTTTCTGGAGTCCTCCCAACTGCCCTGATGCCCATTCTTCTAATCAAGTTTCTTTTCCTCTCAGCACGTCAGATTTTTGTGTGATCCAGTTGAATTTTGTCCTGTTTGGTAAAAATTCACTTTGGGAAAGGTTACCTAGAGTGGCCCAGTGACTGATCTGTGGTGGGCTAAAGAGGCCCAGGTCCTCCGGCATTGGATGCCTGTGGGAGTAGCCAACTTCACTGACTGCTCCAGGTTTTAACTGTCTGTCTCAGAACACACGGTCTCTTCCTGACTCTGAGCCATCCTGTCATGTGTATTTGTGATGATTCAAAACCTGATTAAATAGCATTGAGAAGAAAACTATGTCACAAGACAGAGGTGCAGGGATGGAGCAGCCAGGGAGGTTTTTGGACAGCCTCCTAGCGGGCTGGGGTGGGTGTTGAGTCTGTTCAGTCCATCCTCCTGTCTTCTGTTCCCAGGGCATCTAGGCAGCCAGCATGGCCTGGGTGGGCCTCTGAGGGGTAGGGGCTTGGCAGATGGATGTGCTTCTGTAACTTCCTTGTCAGGCTTGCATGTTACATGGACAGGAAAAGCTAGTGTCCTATGGGACAGCTCCATGGACCACTGACTCAAAGAACAGTGACCGTTTGTCTCCTACCCTGCTGAGAAATCACTTGATTCTTTGTCAAATAAATCACCTTCCTGTGGTCCATATTCACTTTCTGGGGTAGGGGACCACCGTGTTTGCCAGTGTCCTGCCTACTTTACGTATCTTGAGGCTGAGTTGCAGTGTCAGCACTTTCCCTTCTTGGGTGAAAGCTGCAGAAGAAACAGTCCTTCCAGAAGCCCAGGCACTTGCCCACTTGCCGGCCTCATGGATCACAAGATCACGTGTGTATGTGTGTGTAATGGCACACTCAAATTCACACTGCTATTGTATGGACACATCTGATTTTTTGAGTATCCGAGACAAGCTCTAAAGTGATTCGGAGTCAGTTTATCTAGGATTTGAAAATACTTGAATTTGTACCAGGACACGACACGTCCTTCCGTAGATGTTCCATGAGGCACTGCTGTCACTCTGGGCTCCTGAGTGTCCTCACTATGAATACCAGTCCTGGAACATGCTAGGAATCCTAGGTATGTGTGGCTTTTGGATTGGTTCTTGATAAACTGAAAATTATTTTTGAAGTGAATCAGTTCAATAGGCCCCTAAGATGCTGTAATTTTGTTGTTGTTATTAGAGACTAATTCTATCTTTTTTGGAAAGTTATTTTAACATGTCAGGTTCTCATTCTGAACTGTTGATGTTTACAAACCATGTTGTAGCTCTAATATTTTGTATGTCGCCTCACCCAGGAGAAGGCATGGCTGGCGGGGAGGCCTTGCGGTAATAGAGCCCCCACTGTCTCCTACCGAGAACTAGTCACAGCCTGAGCAGTGTCCTTTGTATTCACAATCCAGAAGCAGGTGGCAAGACTGGGGGAGGAGAGTTGGGCGCTCCCACAAGCCATGGCTCTGCATCATTCAGGGAAGAGCAGTGTTGTATGGTTGAATAGCAAGGAGGTGCTATTGTCACACACCACTGCAGGGCTGGAGAGTCCACAGGAAGCAGGAGCAGGCTGTATTGGGGGCAGGGTGGTGGAGTACTAGGGGCAGGCCCCCTAACCCCGACATCCAGTGTGATCCAGTTCTGCCGAAGTTCAGGTTGGCAGTAGTCCAGGTCACACGTTCAGAGGATGGCCCAGCGAGTCTGGTCTAACCCCCGTTCCTGCTTCCTCCTCCAGAGGGCAGCCTGCGTGTGGCTGCCCTGGCCCCCGCTCCTGATGGAGAGCTTTCTGTCCTTGGTGTCAGTCCATACACCTTGTGCTTCCTCGATCTTGAGCCTGTTGCGTGTCGTGATGAGTGGCAGTGGATGACATCTGGATTTTTATGTTAGTTTTACATGCTTTTATTTCCCATTTGCTGAGTATGTCTACATAATCATAAGAAAAAAGAATCCCCTTTAAAGTAGGGTCACAAAGACTGGGCCTGCATCAAATGGGGCCCGCTTGGAAGGACCACCCTGAGTTCCATCATGTTACTGGGCCTTAGGAAAAGGCCACCATTGAAGTGAGTCAAAAAAGAGAAGCATTCAGACATGATTACTGCTCATTCTTCCAAGTCGTTTCAATAAAACCATTTTATCGTGGAGAAAGGAGGCCTTCTGAGGAAGTGTTGTCAGCTGAAAGAAATAATGCTGAGACCCACTGAGACGTGAATACTGAGATATGTTACAAAATGGTGGTGTCCTAGGGCTCGAGAGACCTGAGAGTAATTTGCATCTTAGTGACAGAATCTTTGTAATTATTTATGTTCTGGTAACTATTTAATATCCATTGTGCTATGAAGCTTTCCCGAGGCTTTTGTATATATATTTCCTTTGTACTATTTAACTAGCTCCCATAGAGCCAGAAGTGGTTTGTAAACGTTCTAATAGCGTGATGCGCTCACAGCCCCTCTGACCTGTACAGCAGCGTGGTGAGGAAAAGCCATGAAGGGAATATGTTTGCCTGCAGTGAATGCAAAGACACCTGTGTTTTTCCTGTTGTGTCTCTGTACAAACAGAAGATAATCTCTGCAAATTGGAAAAAAAAAAAGCATATTTTTTTGCGTTTATTAAGTCTACTATGGACCAATGTCACTTAGGTTTGGGGCATTTTAAGTCAACCTTAGCTTTCTTCATTTCCTGATGGGATGGAACTGACTTTTCCAGGTAGAGCAAAACTTAAAGGAAAATGGAGTTTTTGGGAAGATCTGGTGTGTTCATAGAGATGTGGGGTTGAAGCCTTCCCGTGTTTGGTAGTTTTGATGGATATAAACACCGACATCTTTGGAGAAAGTGTATTTTGGCAATGTTTCTCTGGACTGGGTGTCATCCACACTACTCTCCTCTACCCCTACCCCCTACCAAAGGCCTAGAGGACAAGGTAAGCCCTCTTTCTTTTTGAATGGAGAGACTGCAGTCAAGAAACCCTAAAGATACTTATTGGGCTCTAGAAAAGACAAGCAGTGATGTAGTAAGTTCTTTTCAGAGAAGTTCTGTGTGAAGTAGATAGCCACATAGATTACGTTTGTCTCCAAAAAAAGCAAGAATGCAGTAAGCCGCCTACACCCAATACTCACATCTTTGTTAGCAATATGCTAAAACCCCAGATCAGGCAGACCTGGGCATAGCAAAACCAGCAAGGACCAGCCACACACTGAGCCCTTGGCTCTGGGAGAAGACTCACAGCCACGGGCAGGCTGTGCACACCTGGTTTCCACCTGTACTGTACACTTGTGAAGAGTTTAGTGGCTCAGTGGAAAACATTTCTTCTCTCTTAAGTTTTTCTCTATCTTTTTGAAAGTTTTTCTAGTGATTCAGCCAGTCTTAGAAGAAGTGAAAGTTCAACTGTCTTGTCCTTGCATGTATGTGAATTCTTGCCTGCTGTGAATGAGTCCTGGCTAGCCCTGTGTGTGACACAAACTCACATTGTGGATTTGCATGTACTATTTGAGGAAACCCTCTGCCTGTTTGTAAGGTGGCCTGAGGATTCACCCTTGCCCATGTCAGATTCTCTGTGGGTCAGTCTGAAGAGCACAGAGACTTGTGTCCAATTTAGTGATGATGTAGGTGATTCCTACTCTGCCATCTGTGTTCAGGGCACACACTAGTTCCATGGTGAGTGTGCCCCTGCCCAGCAGCCTTATTTTGAAGATGTCATCTACAGAGCGATAGAGACATTCAGCAGATAGCAGAAAGGGCAGTGGCTGGGGGCATGCACTTCCTGGGCAGAGAATTGTTGGCTGTTTCTCATAAGCAGGGGGAAAAAAAAGGCTGTGTGTGAAGTTTGCAGGTACATTTCAGGCCCACATGAAGTTGCAGAGTCTGGTGTTCCTTTGCACCTGCAGGAACAGCTAGGAAGAGTTTGGAAGACACACGAAGTTTCTATGCGAGAGGCCTGGGGGCGGGAGAGCAGGGAGGCTGCGGCGGCGGCAGTGGGGGCAACATGGATGTCACTTGTTATGTTCATAGCCCCTGCTGCCCTGGAAATGTGCCCTACCTTCCCCCTCTTCAGAAGAGTGAGGTCCTGTGCTCCCAGATGGACCTGGGGGCAAGGGCTGAATGTTGGAGACCACCGCCCCTCAGTGCTGGTATCTGCTCTGGGTCTAAGCAGGCAACACATCTGCCTCAGGTGGGCACCAGGCAGGATGCAGACCTAACAGACCCCCTCTCCTGGCTTTGATAGTTTCCCTGACTCCTTAAAATCTTGTTTCGCTCTTCACAGCAGACATCTTTAAAATAATTAGATTCTTACGGTTGAGAAAGTAATTTGAAATTATTTGACTTATATGTTTGTGTAGACATTGTCTCTGAAAGAAATTACCATCGTGTTAGATTGAGAATTTTCTTCTAAAAGGGGATATTCCATTGGATTTCATGCTAGTCATTATTGATTGGATATAAGTTCTCAGGCTTTGGGATTTTTTTTTTTCCCTTTCTAGTTTTCTCCTATTCCCAAAAGGAAAGAAAAAGCGAGTGAGCCTAAGAGGAAAAGAGGTGGAGAGGACACAAGTCCATTGAGCTCAAAGCACTAGCCACTTGCCTAGAATCAAATTTAATTATAGATTCTTGAACAATGCATATGTGTCATCAGTCTACCTTGTCACCCCTTTTATTCTGGTACTTTAATTCGAGTGAGCCTTTGGTTAGGGCATAATATCGTTTGGACTGTGGCGAGCTAGCGGGACTTGTTTGGTGTAATTGTGGTAACATGTCTGGAGCCACGTTCCGAGTGGTTAGTTTGTTCGTGTTCTTTCATAATTGTGTCTGAAAAGAGAGATGCTGCTACTACTCCAGTAGGAAGTACCTAGCCCCTCCTTTTTCATCAGAAAATCTGCCCAAGGGATCTGCCAGGAGAGAGGACAGTGAAGACCTGTGCTCACTCCAACCCCAAGGCAGGGCTGGGCCTGACTGACGCTGCTTCCTTCCATTGACCCTGCTTTCCTTCCTTCTCCCCACCCCCAGAACTGATTTAGCAAGTTTCAAAACACTTCCCCCTTTCCGGGGCACTAAAGAATACACCGATTCAGGGCTTAAAGAATTGGCTAGGCCAAGGGCTAGCGAGGGCGAGAGTGAGGGCATGTTGTAGCCTAGGCCCACTTGTTCCCAACTCATTCATCCCTGTCTTGTTTGAAAAATAATTAAAATCACAATGAAACTGATCCATTGGCCCCAAATCATTGCTTTTTAGTAACTTGATTTTGTTTGACACGATTCCATCTGGAAGAATGCTAGGGAGTGAAGCTGTCTGTGTATGTTGAAGTTTGTAGAAGTTTAGGAAACCATGAAAGAAACACTATTTATTAGTCTATCTGGTTTTTGTTTTTTTTGTTTTAAGTAGGCAATTCTGCCTTTGTATATTTTATGACAAATAATCACTTCACCTTTGGTGCCTTCCATGTGTCATATAAGCACTCTTGTCAATCATGGAATGGGAGGGGCGGGGTATATACCTTTAGTTAAAACAGATAACACTATTTTTGTAGCATGATTGTGTCCTTCCCATATTGCTTTTCACAGTATCAGTCTTGACATTTGGGGTAGTTTCCTCTTAAACTTCCTATGTATTTTTCAAAACAAAACACCCTCCAGCAAGTCTTGTCCTTTGCACCGTGTTCTCCCCTCACTGCACTTCTGCTGATTTAGTCCGAGAGTCAGAGGATATTTCTGAAAAAAGCCATGTCCTTGTAATTCTGTTTGGCATTGCTCGACTCTGTTAGGCTGGAAGAGCTGCTGCTCACCAACAGTAAGAAGGAAGTGGTTCTGTTTTTCACAAGTATCACCTCTGCTCTGCCTTCCCCCCTGCTGGGTCTGACATGAAGAGCTTGTGTTTGGCTCCCTGCCCTCCCACCCCAGCCAGTATCAGACTGTTCACCGGCGTGTCTCTGAGGACAGACTGGTGTCCCGGAAGCACCTCAGCCTTGCTCCGGGACTCATCCAACTTGGATTCAGGTAGGGTTGCAGATGCCCTTGGTGGGTTTCTCAGTGGCCCGAGTGCAGTAGGTGCCCTGCTGTGGAGGGCTGGGTGAAGCCAGGGCACAGGGTGACTTAGCCACCCACGCTGTTCTCCTGACCCTGCACCTTGGAGTTGTCTGGAAAAACTCACTGAGCCATTGCCAAGTAAAGGTACGGATGCTCTGAGACATGAACTTGTAGCTCTTGGTTTTTGTCCTTTTGAAGAGGCAAACATCTAATTCTGTGACGAGTTATGAGGTGGTTGAAGGACAGCTTTCTGCCAGGATGGGCCCCTGGCACTTCATTTAATGAGTGACACTTTGGGGAGGCAATGTTCATAGTTAAACTTTGTTTCTCAAGTCCAGTTTTCCTTGAGGCAGGGTCTTGCTAGGTAGTCCTGGCTGGCTTCTTAACTTATAGCAATCCTCCTGCCTCTTTTTTCCTGGGATACAGAAGTGTGCTACTATGCCCAGCTAAAGCTTTTCTTTTTGGCAGTTTATAGACATGCTATGGGCATCTCAAGGTAAAGGCCATTGATCAAACCTTGGTTTGTGTTGTTTGAAGTACTGGATTTCACATCCCGGCCCATCTGACATGGCCACCCCTGACTCCTGGGTTTGACCTTGTACATTTCAAATGCTGTGGGAGTCACAGTTTTTACTCCCGTTGATTTGCCCCTGACAGCAGACAGAGCCTCACACTGCCCTCAGTCTCCCCATTTTCCTTTGAAGGACCAATTTTTCATGGTACTTGTCTTGATTGTTTTCATAGTGTTCAAAACTGTATTTTTGTATGTAGAGGAAAATAATTTTCTCAACACTAATCACTAATGAATACTGTATTGTCATGAAGGAGTTGTTTAATAAATGGACATATAAAAAATGCTTTAGTCTCTTCTGTCTCTCCAAAGGCTTTGGATTCCACTTCTGCAACAAGCTTGCTCTTTGGGGGAGCCACAAGCCACAGGCTGAAAGCAGACCGTAGAAGTGCCAACTGGCCAGGCTACAGAGCACTGCACAGCCTCTGCCTCTGCCTCTGCCCATCCACACGTTTTCAGTGACAGTGACCAGAATGCTGACTAGGATCCTTGTGGCAGCTGAGCTGAGGGCCCTTGCTCTACTAGTTTCCAAACCACTAAGCCCCAGGTTTTGGCTACTACCAGACACCAACTTAACTAGGGTGTGCTTACCTTTACCACCTTGGCTGCAGGACTGAGCAAAGGCACCAGCAGAGGGTGCACGCCGCCACCCTGATGCTCACTGAAGAGTAACTACTGCCTTCCCATGATGCGGGAGCGGATACGCACACACTCACTGTGTCTGCCTGTATTGAAACAGGCAGTAACTGCCCGGTGTTTCTGCAGGCAGTGGGTGGGTTTCTCAGTCAGGCACACTCCAAGCATGTAGTCAGTTTGTTTTAATCTATTGTGGCATTCTTACAGGGAGGGGATTCACATGCAAGATAATAAGGTTACAAATGCCCAAAGCATGGACCCAGAAGTCTGGCTTATTTTGGGGGCCTCTTGGGTCACAGAAAATGCCATTCATTACATTGCTTTTGTATTAAAAAAAATATTTAAAAAAAAGTTAGAAAACACCGATAAAGACACATAGAAAGTATCAGCCCCCAAGTAAACAAAGAGAAGGCCCACGTCACTACGGACCTGCCCAAGTGTCCAGAGGAAACACTGTCTTTTAGCGTCCCCAGGAGGAGAGTGACTGGGCCTGCCCAGCCACTTGTGACTTGGTCACTGCCACTGTACTGGTTGGCCCCAATAAACAAATCTTTGGGCTCTTTTCTGAAAAGGTCTCAGACCCATAATGGAAGACTAGGTTGGCTACCTAGGTTTTTCTCTGCTTCACAGTGAGGAGGGAAACTTCTTGAACAAAAATTCCTGAAAGTCATTTTAACAAAGTGCAGGTGTGAACAGGAGCACTCCACACAGAGCCCACTGGGGCTGGTGGCCCAGCCTGCTTAAGGTTTTGTTAGTCCTTGTTAGTGAAAGGCCCCAGCCTGCCCCGTGCTGCCACATGAACTGCAGTGATTGGCTCCGTTTCAGCTGGGCTTCTGTGTGGGCGGCGAGCTTAAAGGGCTCCAGGTCTTCAGGGCAGAATCAGAAGGTAGGATATTCACCGTGCGGGTCAGCAGTGCCAAGCCAACACAGCCAGGTGTGAAAGTGAGGCCTCAGGAGTGTAATCTCCAGAGCCTGGCTCCTCAGTCTGCTCTCCCCTGGGCATCCCCTGCTATGCTCCTGGAGCCCCATCAGGAAAGTATGGGTGGAGGGGCCGAATGGCTCTGGTCGCCAGGTGTAGACAGGCCTTCAGTCAGAGTCTGAGTCCGAGTTGGAATTCTCTTCTGAAAGGAAAGCAGAGGGTGCTGGCACCAGTTTCTGGGTAGGGGGAGGCACCAATCAACTGCCAGCAGAAGCCCTGGGCCCAGCCTCTCCCACATGAGTGGCAGGCCAGGCCTTGGGGCACAAGTGGGGTAGAGCAGGTACTTCTACTCAACCCAAAGCCCAGATGCTTCCTTCCCAGGGAGTCTAGGCATGCCCAGAACATCTTCTCACCTGAGGAGGTCAGAGCTGTACACCAGCACCCTCTTCTCTATCTCAATTCAGCAAGACAAGGCAAGGACAAGGAATTAGTTGTCCTTGAACTAAAATACACTGGAAAATGGGGCAAGCCTTTTTTTTTTTTTTTCTTGTAAAGCTACTTTATGGGCTTAGCTGTTTATAAAGATTCTGTATTCTAGTGTCTGTCCCTAGTACTAGTAGCTGTTTTTTGCTTGTTACCTCCCTCCCCTGGACCTGTTTCTCCCCACCCATCCATTAGCCAGGGATGTACAAGTAGGACAAGTTTGCTATATTCATATTCAACATACAGGCCAAAACCACTTTTATTGTGAAAATAACTATTTTACATTAAAACCACACAGTATTCAAAATGCATGTTCATGGACATGTATGCTCTGATCCCTTAGCTGGCTGACCAGCATTTGCTGCAGGTCCTAAAGGTTTGAAGACAACATGCAAGAGCATTTATCTCACAGACCGGAAATAAGTTTGGAATTTTTTTTTTAAGCAGCGTAGGACAGTGTCTAATGCTCCCATTGGGAAGCCAGTGGCCTCTAAATCTAACTAGGTCCTACTTGAGACTCTAGTACTTTACGGGGAAGATCCTACAGCTAAGACCCGCCCTAACAACTCTGTCTAGCGACAGTATTATTGGCCTGTTCCAGAGAATTACCTGGCCCAGACACACTTTCTTTGGAAAAAAAAAAAGCAAAAACAGAATGAGTTTGAGACCAGCCTGGGCTACAAAGTGAGTTCTAGGCCAGCTGGAGCTCTACAGAGTGAGATCCTGTTTCAAAAACAAAACTCACCCCAAACAAAATCCAGGACAAACCGTGCCTGTGTTTGCCTGGGTGCTGTGGGCTTCCAAGCCGGAAAGGAGAGGGGAAGAAGGGGTCTAGTGGGTTAGTCTCAGATGGATTCATAGTGTGAACAGCCGCCCTGGGGCCATATCAGAGAGCCTCGAAGGGCCAGAGGTGGAGGCATACACTCACTCTCCCCTCCTGCTAAATTTACTGAGGCCCTAGAAGACTACCCTTGACGGGACAATGAAGGGGTATGACAGCTAGGTGGAAAACACTTCCCACTTTCCCTACAGCTATCCTGAAAGTGATCAGCTGGGTTCTTTGTCAGAAACCGCACAGGGTGGCCACTCACCTTCTGTCCTATGCGCTGTGGTCTCGTTCCCAGAGTCTCCTTGCTTGAGGAATTTGGCCACTTCATTAAAGATCAAGTAGAAGTCAATTGCGAACACAATTGTGGCAAAAAAGCCAAAAACCTGTGGGATACGTGCATGGCATATGACAAAGAATACAGACAGGATGGACAGGACCTCTGGGTTTAGAGATAAGGAGACTGGGCGTAAGCAAAGAGCACTGAGAAAAATGTCCCAGCAAGGACTGACGGGCAGGCCTAGCCCTTCTGTGGTATGGCAAATAGGGGAAATGGACTGTGAACCTGGTAGGCAGCTGCCTGAAGTCAGGGCACAGTCGATTTCTAATTAGACCGGAATGCCACAGACCCACACAGGCACCAAGGGCCTAAGCAGGGGCAGGATCTGTTCAGGTCCCACTGTGGAAGTGGGTGCCAAGCAGGAAGATCTGGAGCATCAGGGAAAGGACACTGTTGGTATTTCCACCAAGGGGTAGGGCAGCCACTTACGCCAGCTGCTTTGTAAGCCCCGTCTGAATATTTGGCAACAGCGGTGATGGAGATGACGAAGTATATGAGGGCAGCGGTGACACAGCGCAGGAAGTCCTGAGGAGAGAGGGGTGTGTCCACACCTCTGGCCTCCTGCAATGGGCACAAGCATGTGGACCCAACGTATCCAGCCCCAGTACCCATGGAGTTCCTGTCCTGGCTCCTCCTGCACTCTGGTCCTGATCTATTTCCCACATGTCTTTTGTCCTGCAGGCCTCCAGCAGCTTACCCTGTCCCTGGTCCAGCTAGATTTTCTCTGCCCCGTGGGTAGCAAATAGGGTGTAGACTAGGCTGCACATCGCTTTGCAGTTTGGTCCATTTGACAGAAGTAGGAAGTGGAGAACATCTAGCCTTCTAAGAATCCTGGCTTTGTCACAGTGAGCTCCATTTATGACCATAGTCTTTGCTTACTCCCTAAGGTGGCACCTATCGCCATGTGGTTACATGGACACTGGAGATTGAAAGTTGAGACAGCAGGGTTCAAGCCCAGTTTTTGTTGCCTCTTTTCTCTGATGCATTTTATCCTTTTAAAGGCACTCTCTCAGGATTGCAAGGTACTCAGGTGATCAAACAAAGCCAGGTGCCAGACGACTAGAGTATAGGAAGTCCCATGAGTCCTCAGTTACCTTGCCCTGCTAGAAATGACTTGAATGTCTCTGGCTGAGGCACATTCCTCCTCCAAGGCCAGAGCAACAGCTCCACCTAGTGGTTAGGAGTCATCCTTAGGTGCCCAGGGCCGCCCCCCCGCCCCCCCCCCCAGCTTCAGGAGGCGGCTAGCACTTAGTGGTTCCTACTGTCCCAGTGCAGGTAGGCAGGGATGGAGGCGTGATGGTCCTGAATTATCTGAAGCTTTCAAGCTGCTCACCATTGTTGGAGACAGTAGGGCCGAAATGTGGAATCCCAGAGTCCTCCGGTGACAGCCAACCCTTTCCTCTTGACCCCCACCCCGACTCCATCCTTACCATCATGGGCCAGCATAAACCCTGCCACTTGTCATTCAGCTGCATGGCGTCAGCAAAGAGGAAGTAAACCGCTAACAGGAACTCCAGGAGAGGCACCGTGAGGAAGGCAGATGCTGAGGACGCCACATAGCAGATGAAGGCAATGAATGAAAGACCCTGCAGAAGAGCAGGGAGACTCAAACCCTCTTGCCACCCCTAGTCCAGAGCATAACCATGAGTCCCATTATACCTTTGCTGAATCCCTGCTAGGACCCCTCATCTTGAAGCCTCGGCCTCCCTTGTAGGCCACTTGGTGGGGCTACTTAGCTCTTTTCTTGGCTCTACGACAGAACATATAGCCAACTCAGCTGTGTCCACAAGGGGGCAAGCCGGAGCTAAAATCTACTGCTTCCAAAAACTCACACCCAACACCTAAGCTGCATACTTTTCATGAACACTCTAACTTCCTTAGCGATGATATGCATGCTCAAGTGGTTGAGGTTGAAATGTACTGACATCTGCAGTTGAGTTTGCATGTATGAAGGCACAGGGGAGCTTTGATGGACACAGGCGATGAAGCAGGCCCAGCTGTGTCCCCCCCCCCCCCCCGTACAGAGGTGTTGACAGAGACCTTTTGCCGTTCTTGAATCTACAAATCTTCAATAAAACAACAACAAGGCTGGTGATGGAGCTCAGCTGGTAGAGTTGTTTGCCCAATCCACACAGAGCTCTGGGTTCTAGCCCAAGCACTGGATGAAACAGGCATGGTGGTACAAGCCTGTAATACTCACACTTGGAAGGCGGAGCAGGACGATCAGAGGTTCAGAGTAATCCTCAGCTTTATTTAGAAAGTTTTAGGCAGCCTGGGATACATGAAACTCCACCTCAACAAAATCTTAACTCTCTTGGAGAGAGCACTGACACTAGGCCCCTGCTGCACCATTCACAGTCTGGATGAAAGGTGCGTTGGCTGCACTGTATCTACCAGAAGCCTGAAGGCGTGGAGGATGCTAAGCTGCTAGTTAGCACTGCAGACTTTGTGCATGGCAGGGCAACAACAAGAAGAGAATAGGCCAGTGGCTTTTCAAGCCTGGTTCTTGCTAGGGTTTCTGGACTTCTCTGCAACTTAACATTCATAGGCTGCTCACGGCCTATCTTCAAAAGGAGCAGACTTAGTGTCACCCAGCTAATAGGGCAACAGAATCTGTACTTGGGCGTTGGAGGCCTTCATCTTCCTTGGCTTACATCTGTCTCTATGGCTGGGCTTGAGTCTACCCATGGCTTGGTAGTTTAAAGGGCAGCAAGAGGAAACTCAGACGACCTGCAGGAAGTACCATGGCTGCTTCAGACAAATGAACTCACCTTAGGGATCCCACTTGCACCCCTTGCCCCACACATGTCATGGGGGAAGCTGGGCTTCCCTTGGGCAAAAAGAAGACTCAGAGAAAGGCTTTTTGAGGTTGCCATCAGCTCCCGTTGTATCTCCTTGCCAAAGGTTGTTCTTATGCCTCTCCTCTTTCTGTTCCCATTCTCAGGAAAGTCTGATTCTGGTGACACCCCCCCACCCACCCACACACTTTGGTTCCTATTTTCTCATTCCCCAATTCCAGATGGCTGATTCCCCTAGCTTCCCATCCATGTCAGACCCTACTTGCATGGGACCAAGAGGAGTAAGGACTGAGGTGGCTCCCCTATACCCCTTTCCCTTCTTATTTTCCTAGGCCTGGATTTCAGGCACCTAGCTAGGACAAGAACAGCTTCTGAGTTCTGGCTGGCATTCACTCCTTCTCCATGAAGGGTGCTGGGTAGACAAGGATTAAAATTGGTGGCAAATAGAGTCAACAACCCCCCCCCCCCCACCAGCCCAGCCGCCGTCCCCAGTGGTTTCCAGAGTGGGCTCTAGGTCCGATTGGTACTTCATTTAGGAACAAAGTATTAGTGGTGACCTCGGGGTTGAAGCCATGTGTCCTGGGGTACAAGGGAGAAGTCCTAGGTAGAAGTCCTCATATCTATTCTCAAGGCCCCTCGATTGAGTGAGTCACCATTCAACTTTTCGAGATGCAGTTAAAGACACTTTCTGTCTCTCCCATCCCCCCACTCTTAAGTGGGAACAGGTCATCTATCAAGTTGCTAGCAACAAGTGGCTGTCACCATGAGCTGTTTCCTCCTTCCATCGTCCCTCCTCCTGCCCCTCTCCTCATCTCCATAGGCCCTTTGCCAGTTCCCGCCCCACACTCGATGATGCAGAAAAGTTGGGAGGACAAAGGAGACCTTCCTAGCCGGGTGGGGACAATCGGGAAGGAGGAAGGAGCACAGCTGGGGAGGGAGGAAGAAGGGGATGAAGTCACCCCGCTGGCTTGCCACCCTGAGACAGTGGTCTGCCTGCACCTTCACTGTGGCCCCGGCCGCACCCACTCCCTGGGGGCTTGCCCCACTCCTCAGGATCCGCACCCCAAGGGCGGCTGAGGGAGATGGGAGAAGGTGCAGAGGCCAGAAAGAGGGCAAAAGTCCTGCGGGACTGGAGAGGGCGGAGGTGCTGAGCTGGTCCCCAAACCTGTGATCTCTGGTCCCTTTCGAGGGCCTCGTGGTCAGGAGAAGACAGGAAGAGCACAGCTCGGGCCTGACTCTGACTCGTGCTCAGCTCCAGAGAAGCCTTTGCAAGCTCGGGGGCGTTGGGCTGGAGGTGCAGGGCCCCGGGGCTGGGGGCGCGGGAACTGGGCTCCGGGCACCCGGAGAGCCTTCGCACTCACCGACTCGGCCAGCAGGAGGCGGCCTTTGAGAGAGCAGAGGAAGGCGCGTGCGGGCAACAGGGCGCGGAGCCCTGGCACCGTCCGGCCACTTCGGGGGCCGTCCGCGGATTCTGGATCGGGCTCCGGTTCTGAGTCCGGGGGCCACATAGCGGCTCTACCTCGTCGAACCTCACTGCCTCACCCAGCGCCCTGGAGGGAAGCGGAAACCCGCTGTGCGGAAGAAGAAAAAGTGGAGTTAAGACTAGGCCCAGGACTCATCCTCCGCTGCCCCGCCCCCACTCCCCCATCCCCACCCACAACTGCCCCTAGAACCCTGTCCCGCCCTTCTTCCCTCCTTCAATTCTCCAGCCCTCCTCCCCCAGTCATTCTGTCCGATCCCTCCTCCCCTCCCATGCCCATCCCCACTTCCCCCACTGCTCCTTTGACTCTGCCCTGTCGATATCCCGCTTACTCCTCACTGCCCCTCAAACTTAGTCCAGACCATCTTTGCTCGCCTTCTATCTTTCCGCTTACATCCTCCACCCCCTCACAACCCCTACAATCCTCCCCGGCCCCTTGTCCTTCCATTCTTAGTTCCTCCTTGGATCCTGTTCCACCCACCAACTGCGGGCGCACCCCCATAGTCTCTTGGACCCTGCCCTGCCCACTTTCCCCACTCATTGACCTTCGAACCACAATGCCCCTCCGACCATTCCTACTCCTCTATCGTCTGATCACAACCCCTCCCCCATCTCGGCTCCACTACTACCTCCCCGCCCCATTTCCTTCTTACCCCCACCCCCATCGCCGCCTCTCACAGCCTCCTTTCCCTTGCCCCGCCTATCTTCTGCCCCAGTCTCCCACCCCTTCTCATGCTGCCTTCTAGGACCCACCTTCCTACTTCCCCTACTCACTATTTACGCTCCTAAGACCTCCTGAGATTCTGTACCCAGGTCCTCCTAGCACCTCCGGACCCCAGCTGCCCGTTCTGCTCTGTGTGGCCTGCGCTGGCCTGGAGTGTTCTTGTATCCTTTGTCTCTCAACCCATCCTGGATGACACAGGCTCACTTACTATGGGCTCCGAGCGCTCTGGAGCGCCGCCCGACCACCTGTCCCTGCTCAGCGTTTCTGCTAAGCTCAAACTTTCTGCCCTAAGTGTCAGTCACCTTCCAGGAGCCTAGAAAACTCCAGGGTAGGGACCCCTCCACCGAGTCCTCTCCTGGCTTGGCTCTAAACATGCTAGGTCAGCTCTTTCAAAGCGCTTTCCCCCCTCTTGGCTCCACTCAGAGTTTCCGTGCTACTTCCCCGGCCACCCTCCCTCTGGTCCTTAGCCCGTTTTCCTTCTTCTCCGGTTGGAGTTTTCCCACTATTTTCCTAGCCACATTCCCCGTCAGTCCTCAACTAGGCCGTCCTCCTTCCGGGCCTCTTTTGTTAGCTGCCTGAAGCTGGGTTCCCCTGTGCTGGACTAACCCAGAGATCTAAGAAGCGTCCGTGTCCTCCCTCACCATAAGACCACCGCCGCCGCCGCCGTACTCCTGCCATCACTGAGGCTCACACTCCTGAACACTCGTGGGGCTCGTTAAGTGGCCTCTGCTCTCTTCCTTGTCAGCCAGCCTAAATCGCTGGTTATGCTCCCTTCTACTGACCCCTCACGAAAACTGATGCTTCGTCTTGCCTCGGGTCCTTTGTACATATGCCTTCTACCTGTGTGTGTGTGTGTGTGTGTGTGTGTGTGTGTGTGTGCGTGCGCACAGTCATGTCTGGGTGCTGACAGAGACCAGGGGTCCACACTATTTTTTAGACAGTATCTCATTGAACTTGGAGCACATGGGATTTTCATAAAACTTACTTGGCCAATGAGCCTCGGATATTGTTTCTGCCTTCCCAGAACTAGGATTGCCTCTATGTGGGATCCAACTGAGATTCGAAGGAGGTCCGACTCAGTCCTCACGCAGCAAGCACCTTATTGCATGAGCGGTCTTTCCGGCTTTCACGTCTACCGTATTACCTTTTGAAGGCTTGCTCCACAGACGATTTCTCCAGGGAGCCATTCCCTACATTTCTTTGTCCATTCAGAAGTGGTGCAAGAAACCCAGGATGTGAAGAAGCTTTAGCAGCTTAGGATAGGAGGCAGCCTGCACCAGGTAGTCCTAAATAAGTTGAATGCCTGGCAGGGCTGGAGAGACGGCTCGCTCTTAAGAGCACCTGCTGCTCTTTCAAAGGTTCAGTTCCCAGCAACCATATGGCAGCTTGTAACTATCTGACACCCACTTCTGGCCTCTCTGGGTACTGCATGACATGGTACATGGAATCATTCAGACGTTAAAATTAAAAAAATAAAAACAGGGCTGAAGAGATGGCTCAGTAGTTTAACACTAGGCTCCCAATCCATGATAGTAAATAAATACAAATAAAAAAGAGTTCTGGGATGCATTGGCTGGTTTATAGGACAGCCAACTGTCATTAAAATGAAAGGAGGCATTGGTCAGAGGCTGTCTCGGACAGGACTTGGGAGACCCTGGTACCCAGATTTCGCTTGCATGTGAGGGTTCCAATAGAAGGGCCCACTTCTGTTCTGTGTTGTTAAAAATGTGGCTGTATATTGAAAATCAATGATAAAGAAATGGACCAGAGATTTGAACAGGTAACTTACCAAAGGAAAATGTTTAATAAATTAGCATATTGAAAAGGGGGTGGCCTCGGGCTGGAGGTGGTTGGTTCAGCTGTTAGGAGTGACTGCTGCTCAAAACTGGGGGCTAGAGCTCCAATTCCAGTGCTCATGTAACAACCAGACATCTCTCCTGGTATTTTTAACTCCGGCTATGAGTGGGGTAGAGACCAGAGGCTCACTAGGGCTTGTTGGCTTCCAACCTCAGGAATAAACTGATATCCCTACATTCAGAGAGACCCTGCCTCAAAGAATAGGTGAGGTGAGATAGAAGAGAAGACTAGAAGCCCCCTTCTGGCCTCCACGTACAGAGGCACACCCCGCACACACACACCTGTGCCGCACTCACACATACACATAGCTATGTATTATGCATGTTTATTTTATCCATTTTAATAGAATTTCATATGCCTTTGCCCCCCTTCTCTACCCCTTTTACCCCTTATCCCTCCCAATGCCCTTCAACCCCCCAACACTAGGTAGGAGAAAAAGAAGGTTAGTGGGAAGCAGGGGCAAAGTTTTCTCTGGCTACTTCTGGCTAGTTAAGAGTCTTCAGGTTCTTTGGGGCAATACGAATCTCAGTCATCAGAGTATCTAGCAGTCCAGCAAACCGGCCACAGCAAACATAGCAGAAGGAGCAACCAGCAACAACACAGGAAGCAAAAAGGGAGAGCAGCGGTCCTCTTCTTTCTCAGAGTCGTTCAGTGCTTGCTGTCCTGGCTCTGATATTTATACTCTCTCTGAGTCCTCAGAGTTCCACTAACTGCATCTGGCAAGGATGACGCCTCTCTCTGAGCCGCAGGAGGCAGTTATCAGCTGTTGATAAACTGAGTCAGCCCCATATCCCACACTTGGGATTAAAATAAAAAACATAATTGCATAATGTAACTGAGTTTTTTTCTTTTTTTTATTTGTGTATATATATATATGCGCCAGGGCTTTTGACGTCCTTAGTTTGTGACACTATTTTGAAGACTGTGAAGCCTTTAAAATCACTGAGGCACGATTGGAAGAGGGCCACTAGGGGCCAGTCTTTGAAGGTTGTAAACACCCCCTTGGTTTTAACCGCTGTGCTCTCTTGCCACATGCTGCTGCTGCCATGGCTTCTTCAGCAACAGCCTGAAGTCTCTCAGAAACCAGAGCCAAACAAACCTTCCCTCCTTTTAAGTTCCTTTTGTCAAGTATTCCGGTTGCAGTAACGCAAAGGCATGACTAAGCATAAAGGCATACAAGCAAAGGAGACACAAATACTGCCTGCTAACATGGCTAAAAGGTATGTGTGTGTGGACGGACACTACCAAGAACAGGCGAACATGAGGAGCAGCTGGAGCTAAAAGGTATGTGTGTGTGGACGGACACTACCAAGAACAGGCGAACATGAGGAGCAGCTGGAATTGTACCAAAAAGGAGCGAGACGTCCATCAAAGGTTGTTTTTTTTTTTTTTTTTTCCATTTTTGCATCTATGTGTATGGAGTATGCACGCGTGTGGGTGCACATGTGTACATTCATCTGGAGGTGGACATCAAGAGCTGCACCAGTTATTTTCCACTCACTGAGGCAGGGTCTCTCACTTTAACCTTATATCGGCTCCTCACGCCCACTCAAGCAGCAGTGAAAGCCCTGCCTTGACTCCCTTGGTAAACTTTGTATACTTTTCAGGGAAGTGTCCAGGCCCTGCCTGAAGAACATTGGCATCCAGGCCAGTCTGCTTCAAGTTTTGTCTCTGGGATCTCCCTACATCTTTCCCTGGGTGGCCCCTCTTCAGCTCTTCAGCTCTCCTCGGTGCCCCCCCTCCCTGAAAAGTGGGGCTTGGATCTTCAGGCTGTGCTGCTGGCCTCTCGACACCTCCAGACAGCAACACCTCAGGACTCTAGAGTGGCTGAGGCTAAATCTCCACAGTCAGGGGACCTGAGCTCAAATATCTGGAGAAACTGAGAAACTGAAGCCACAGAAAAAGCAGCAGCACCTGATCCGGCTGCTGCTGTCCAAGTGGAGCTAGTCTGTGACCTCCTGCCCCAACTCTGTGGCAACAATGTATAAACTATCCATTTCTCCAAAGGCAGGGAGCTTTACACACTCTGGCACTGCCAGCCAGGGACCAGGCCCAGGCCCAGGAATCTGACCCCTAGGTATAAATTCACAGTTTAGTTAATTAAGGTTGTTTTGTTTGGCTCAACTGTGTAAAGCCCTTGAGGCATGACTTAATAGGCCCCTACCTTACACCTCTCTGTCAAACTGGTAGTTCCAGCCTCTGTCACACTGGCCATCTCCAACCCCTTAGTGGGACCCTTCCCAGCTTATGCTAGTTTTAGGTGAAAAGTCTGAACAAAAACTTGCCAATCCCTGAGCAGGAGAACCATCAATCCCTAAACTCTCTCAAGCTCAAAACTTGAAATCCCACCAGTCCTCACTATGGAAAGCTCCATCCACTAAAAAATTCTCTTGAAAGGCTGGTTTTACTCAGTTCCCTGCTGTCTTCTCCTGGGAGCAGAGGCAGCCACTCCTGGATTCATCTTTCTTCTCCTAGATTTGTCCCTTCAGTAAATCTCTTTTAAGAGGTTTGCTGCCTGGTTTGACTCTTGGGCTTAGGCTCCTGAGCGCCTTAGCCCAGGTGGGGTTGTGGAAACCCTCCACTGGCTGCTACAGCAGCTGGAGAAGGAGCAGGGTTGAGTCTCCTGAGCTCCTCAGTTCAGCTAAGAATACCCTCTTCTGTGGGAGCTGCAGCATCTCTGCTGAAGAGGTCTCTTCTCAGAGCTGTGTTGTTCCTGGGCTGTGTTTCAGGATGCCCTTCCCTTAGGGCACTGTCCCATCCCAGAACTGTGTGCTCTAGGCTTCAGAGCTGTGGGTTTCCTGGACACCTTCCTGTTGTAAAAGCTACTCCCTCCTAAACCTCCAAGCCCTCACAGTTTCCTAACATTTAGATTTCCCACATTATACTTGCTTTTTGTGAAATCTTAGGTCCAGTCCATCTCTCCACGTCGTTCCCAGATCTCTCCTCCAGCTCTCTCTTCTAGCTTTCCTCTTGCCCCCTCTCCTCCCACTCATTTCCTGCCCTCAAGCTCCTCCCCTCTTTCCTGTC